TGGTGAGACCCCACCTGGAGTACCATGTGCAGTCCTGGGCTCCTCAGTTCAGGAAGGACAGAGAACTTTTGGAAGGGGTCCAGCACAGGGCTACTAAGATAATCAAGGGCCTGGCACACCTGTCATATGAGGAAAGGCTCAGGGGGCTGGGGATGTTCAGTTTGGAGAAGAGGAGGCTGAGGGGGGATCTTACTAATGCTTATATCTAAAGGGTGGATGTCAGGAAGATGGGGCCAGGCTCTTCTCAGTGGTGTCTGGTGACAGGACTAGGGGCAGTGGCCACAAGCTGGTGAACAAGAGGGTCAACCTGAAGATAAGGAAGAACTTCTTTACGACAAAAGTAACAGAGCACTGGAAGGGGCTGCCCAGGGGGGTGGTGGAGTCACCATCTCTGGAGACTTTTAAGACTTGCCTGGACCTGTTCCTGGGTGATGTACTCTAGGTGATCCTGCTCTGGCAGGGGGTTGGACTAGGTGATCTTTTGAGGTCCCTTCTAGCCCTTAACATTCTGTGAATCTGTGAACCATGTGACCATTTAATAAGGCAAGTGTTTTTCTAAAGGGTTAACTAGATGAACGTAGGCACATCTTTCTTTCTAGGAAAGACGTTTGGATTTAGGCATTCATTGTCCCCCATCTGGAAGAAATTACAGTCAGTGAACCCAAGCAAGCTCACACTACAATGCACAGGCCTGTATACATGAGTTTTTTAGGCCAAGAGTTAAGCCTTACAGATCACTTCAGGTCAACTGCTCAAATCCTTCTCTTCAACTCATTTTGATTTCATAAATGGGCAGTAGGTCAAATCAGCCACACCCCTAATTCTCTAATGATTGCTAGGTTTATCGTGCAGTAATGAAATAGAAGTTCAGATTTTTCAAATACTACCTTCAGCAGATAACTTTTTCCTATGGCTTTTCAAGGCAATTGTCCAAGTCTATTCCATCGTCCGACTGTCTGATTCACTGGTCTATATTTAAAAGGGCACCTCAGGAAACATAAGCTGTAATTTTAATTTTCCCTTCTGCTCCTCCAACATGGATGCTAAAGCAATATAGAGTTCCCTAGACTCCTTCATAATCCTTCCAAAACTGAGTTACTTAGGGCTTGGTTCTTATCTGATATATTTTTCAGCTGGTGTAGTTTTCACTTCACTCAGACTCAGAATTTAGCCCAGAGATGACCTGTTTCTGAGATTTTCACATTTCTTTGGACTGGTTTAGTATGGCATCAACAACAAGTGAGTACCCTTCTTGTGCCAGGTCCTGGCCAGTGCCTAATGAGACAGAGCTCATGGTCTGCCTATTCCCCAAAACATTCTGCTTTCTTTATTGGGGAGAGGGAAGAATAGTAAGCTGCTTTGCAATCACTTCAGACTCCTTGGTTAACTCTGATGTCTCTGCTCAGCGTATAGACAACAATAAAAATGCCATAGGTGTTTCTGCTGCTTTTCAGCTTGAGGCAGTTCTGTACCCATTACCGTTGAATTCAGTGGAGCAATAGAAGATAACCATACAAAATGCTAACCTCATAATCCCTCACATTGTTAGGTATTCCTTACTGACCACTCTTTATGTTCTCTAGAGCTTCAGATGTTTTGTCACTTCTAATTCTGCCAGCAAAGCCTTTTTCTTTTTTTTTCTTTTCTTCTCGCTCTCTCTTTTTTAAAATTTTTTTTAATTTACTTTTTTTTTTTTAAATGAGAAAACTGCTAGTAGCCAGACAGAGCAAGACAAGAAATGCTGGAAGAAACATTAAAAAACAAACAAAACCAAATCTTGCAAATGACTTGGTTTCTGGGTGGGATTTTTTTGTTTGTTTACATAAAATAAATTAGGTTCCAGGCTTCATGACACAATAGAATATGGATAGAGAAGGGAGAATAAAGCCATTTCTGATTTTTTTTTTAATGTTGTTTTATGCCTTAAAGAAGATGGAATGTCATTTATGGGAGCTGAGAATGCAACACAGATTGTGAATATAAAACTTCAAAAAGATTATCATTGGATCTCTTTTAAAGCAACAATTTTCAATTTTCTTAGCTTTGCAGACCACCAACATGTTTCCCATGGAAATGTAGATTTTGTATTCTGCTGACCATATAACTGGTTATTTTGTTAGTCGTCTCTCACAGACCTTTCATAGTAAGCAGAGTGTCCTGGGGTGACACTGATAGCACAAGCTGAAATCATGGTGTAAAAGTATTATATTCTTTTGTCCTGTTCTGTGGGCCCATGTAAAGAAAAACACGTTTGATCACATGACTGCGAGGTTGTGTAATTAGTTCTAGACAAACATAATGGTGAAAACAAACCTCCCACAACCACAAACAGGGGCAAATAAGTGAAAGCACTAACAGAAAATCTGATGTTAAAAGGTTAAGGGCCAAATTCCAGCACCCTTATCTCTGACAAGAACCTGTTTGCTTTTTCTCCTACATGTTGCCATTCTAGCAAAGACCAGGCAGAAAGATAAAGTTGATAGCAAGTTTTGCCAGTGCTGAGCTAGTTTATACATGTGGAGTATGCATTGACAAAAGGAAATGAAGTTGAACATTTTGCTCCTATTCTGCCTCTGGGGTATGTTGATCTAGGCCCCATGAGGAACATAGGAATTGCTCAGAGAGGAGCAGACCTATGGTCCACCTACTCCGGTCTTCAACAGTGCAAAGTACCTAGGGTTTCAGTGCAGGGAACAAGAAAGTCTTCAGGAGGGGGCTAAACAGTAACCTCATGTCGAGGAAGAGACAGGTTCTCTCAGACAAGGGTAAGGGTGGGGAGTGTCCCTTACCTAACTCCTGTTTTTCTTTTACATATACTATACAGGAAAAGAGAGAGAGAGGGAGTACGAGAATTAATAGACTAGCCAGGACTGAAAATGCCGTCCCTTGTTTGTCATTAAGATCATATGTGATCCCAGACAGATCACAGATGTGTGGGACGTAGTAGATAGATGTGTGTAAATGAGCTAAAAATGTAAAATGGGGTAGGCAGTACTCCCATACCTCCTGTCATGGCTGTGAAAGGCTAGTGATTTGATGTTGCAGTATTTGGACCCACAGCAGTACAGGGGCATGTTGATAATGAAGAGCCAGGATGTTCCTGCTATTCTTAGGTGGAGGGAGCTAGTGCAACAAAACACCGGGGTCCTCTGAAACTGCTTATGTAAAGTAAGTGTGCCATGTAGTTAACCCTAGAAATGCCTAAACTGAGGCTCACTTCCCTTTGCAGAGAGAACAGGTTTCCAGCTGAGACCAGCTGCAGGACTCCTGTCTGCTCGTGACTTCCTTGCCAGCCTGGCATTTTGTGTGTTCCAGACCACACTGTACATAAGGCATTTCTCTTCTCCTATGCATTCTCCAGAACCGTAAGTTTGATGCCCTGGCACAATTCCATCCTTCTGAATGTGTTGGGAATGATTCTCCTGGGAACAGCTCTGTAGCTCTATCCAGTAGTCCACAGAATGAAACAATTGAAGAAACCCATAGCTGGAAAGTCAGAAGGGGAAGTCATGCATGAGAGGGTGTGGGTCTCTGTCTCTCTTGCAAAGCTGTCTGGTGAAAGAAAAGACTGGAGAATATATGGTTTAATCTTTTCATCCTGCCTTCAGTTACCATCTGCTGGGGTTTGATTCCCTGCTGTGAAACTCTCCCAGTAAGTGCTGGCCAGACAACAGCAATTACATGAGAATTCATGAGAAATCACAAGTTCACAGAGACACTTTTGTTGTATGCTGGGAGAAAACAGGGGCCTTTCAAAGATGTTGTGACATAGGAGACTGGTGCCCATGCCATCCATCCTAAGTGAGACAATAGCCAAGGTAGCGGGGGGCAGCTGGCTCCCCATGGCACGAGGGTTCCCTGCAGAGCCAGGCCAGGTATGGAGGCCGCTACTGCAGAACAGCCCTCACACTAGCTCCCTTTGCAGGTCTACAAGCTAAAGTCCTTCACAGAAGTTCATGTAAGGCAGGAAAAGAAACCTTTATTAAAGATAAAGATCACTTTTTTTCCAGAGACTGCTGCCATGAGTTATTGGGTCATGTTCCCATGCTGGCTGACAAGGATTTTGCCCAATTCTCACAGGTAAGAACCTTGTTCTGTTGGCTGTTTAACCAATGGCTCTGAATAGCAGCCCAGGCATGCGTTAAAGGCACGGAGTTCACCATGACTGAAATGCTATTTTAAGACTGGATCATGCCTGAGTTCAGGGATGGTGGGCTAGCAGTGCCCCAGGAGACATTTACTTCAAGGGAGTGGTAGCACAGCTCAGGATATTGTATAAAAGGAAGGGCAGGCAGTTTTTGTGGGACTTCTCTGTGGGAGGGCTGTCAGTCTGCAGAAAGATGCCAGAGGAGCCTCTGCGGTGCTGTGCATTTGAGCTGTGCTGACTACACTGTTCCCCTGGCTTCCTGTCCTACACCACATGAACCTAACCAGCAACAGCCGCTGAGCCCTCAGGCTGGTTCTGTCTCTAGATGTACACTTTTATCTCACGTGATACTTTAATTGTGTCCATCACCATGTCATTCATTAGAGTTGTTTCTCCTTTGACAACTTACCAGATTCTCATAGCATTGCTCACAGTACTGAGGAGCCTCCAAAAAGCAAACAGGGAGCTATTTAGTATGAGCTGTAATGTCAGACCCAGGTGAACTCAACGACCTTGCATAATTAAAGGCTTCATAACTATGAATGTGCCTCAAAACCATAGCAGAGGGAAGAAGATAACTCGTATTTTATGCTTATCAGCGAGTGGCCAGTGTGGGAACAGGCAATAAGAGAAGAGGGGTTACATGATGTCGATCCATGTCTGAATATCTTTAAAAAGATTATCATAAATATTGGTTACTATCAGATTTAGATGAGTAGTACTTAAAATATCCTAATGGTCCATAATTTATTCTAGAAGAAACCTCTTCAATTCAGTTCAATACCAGAACTGAAGACACATTAGAAATAAGATTACAGCAATTTCAAAACTTTCAGATTTCCTTTTTTTCCATATAAAACACAGATTATACAACATGCAATCACATTAAATGAATTTTCACATTTCACTTTTTTTCCCCCACAAAGTATTTTCACAGTTGAAAGTCACCCCATGAAAATTCTTTTTTGTTCCATTCAATATGAGACGATGAATGGTGAAAATACTCTAATTTTGTTTGTTTGCTGCATGATTTGTCTCCTAGGATAGCTAAGAAGAGACATCTACAGATTCCTATTGTAAGAATAACAATTAACAGGAAGCACAGATGAGGGTAAACAGAATCATGCCTGCATGGATCTGACCCGTTCCCAAGGGCTGTCAGAAAGAGAGCAAGAGACAGAAAGTAATGGCAATAATAAAGCCCACTTTGCTGTTCTTTCTCCTTATTCCTTTCTATGAATCTCTGCCATGGATAGTCCAGCATTAAGTCAAGAGAAAGTTAACTTTACACAGAGAATACTGAGAATTAAACACTCATCTCATGTGTCTTCCAGTGGTATGCAGCTGGGGGCCAGGGAGAGGTAGGCATCCTGGAAGCCATGGAAGGTCATTTTGGGTGACAAAAACAATGAATAGTTCGTGTTATTCATGCGAGAAATGATGTCGTCCTCCCCCCTGCCCTCTTTCTCTCCCTTGGGCTGAATAATCACACTAGTATAACACAGTCTGCTTGCTTACTTGCTTTAGGATATTGGACTGGCTTCTCTTGGATCATCTGAAGCAGAGATTGAGAAACTGGCCACAGTAAGTACAGATGGCAGTTTCATATTGGAGGCAAAACCCAAACAATTTGTTGTGTATCCTTTACTGTACAGGAAAGGCTCTTTTCCAGTGTCTCCAATTAGTTATAAAAATGGGAACATTGGCAAGATTGACTCTTCTTCTCATCCACAGGTTAGGGAGGTGCTGGAGCAAGGGCTGGAGTCACTCTGGGGGACGCCAGAAGCGATTCCACCTAATGAAATGCTTATACTTTCTGCTTCTATAAGAATACATTTCTGAAGCTGAGTTTCTATAATTTCAGCCACAGGAGATTTCCCACTCACTTTCAAGATCCACCCAAAAAACTGTATACCCAATGCGACTCCTGAATTTTCTCCCATGCAAGATGCAGGAAAAGATCAGAATTTCACCCTGTATTCATTAAAAATACAGATTCAAAAATATGTGAGGATGTAAAAACAATTTGAGAGCAGGTACAGCCATTTGGTTCTTAGTCACTAGGCCTTACACATCTGCCAAAACAACTTACAAAGCCCCTTAGTGCCATCCTAACCTGTTCTGAAAGTGGGCTGGAGGACAGTTGTTTTTTTTTTTCTTTCTGGTAATGACAGACATTTACCAGTCTTGATGAATTTTTCAGGGGAGAACAGGAGCCTCACCTTTACCCAGCTGGGTGCGGCTTATTCAGGAAAGCAAGTGTATGGGAGGAGACTGTCACTCCTGAAATTCCTCACCCAGCCCATAGCCTCACTCATAGTGAAGTGGAACAAGGCACTATGAAGGAGATTATTGATCACCTAAAATCTATCTGCATATATCCATCCTTGGGCCAAGAGTAGGTCAGAGTAGCAGTTTTTTTTAGAGTTTTGAGAGCAAAAGGTACCAGTGCTCAATTTTTCATAGCATCATCCAGGTCCTGAGCTGATGATGTGAGAAGACTGTGTGGGAACAAGCAGTGACACGTACACATTTTCTCTGCAATTTCTCCCCTATGGGTCTAGAAGGGTTAGAGTAAGATTAAGATCCATGCTTCTCCTAGGATTAAAAGAATTATGGGTCCTGGAGATCCATTTTGCATCATTACCCAGGTCTTCTGAGAGATAAGATGAAAGCAAATGTCTTACACAGCATTTCTCTGCAAACACCCCTCCCTGACTCTGTGCTGGCTAGGAGTAGATTAGAGATAGGTTTAAGATTAGAAAAATTATGGGTCTCATACCTGAAATTGTCATAGTATCATCTAGGGGTTGGGGAGGTAGAATAAGAGCATGTTTTTGAAAGGGCTACGTGAACTTCAGGATCTGTGAGAGTACCATTTTGTAAGCATCATTCAAGTATTCTGAACATATTAACATATCCTGGATTAACATCTCGATCTTCAACTGTTTAAAAGTTAGACATCTAATCCAGGGTTATTGTTTAAGTCCCTTCACTACAAAATGAAGACAGAGCAGAAGCTGTAATGTCTTTGCTATCCTGACATATACGTCTAACAATTTCTTTGTTCTCTCTGGAAGTTCCTGTCATTCTCTGCTCATTATAAAGAAAATGTAGGTAACCAACTTGGGTGACATGACAACATTTAAGCTAGCTAAAAGTTTATTTCAAGAATCTCGACTTTGCTTGTTGTTATGGACTATAATTTTTGTAAGACAAACTTTGAAATGCCATTATTTAATTCAGTCCCTGGACTCCTCTAAGCAGGTGGCTCTGAGCACAAGAGATGGGAGATTGCCAGTGTTCATCCTGTCCACAGAGTGCCACTAGTACCGTGTCTTGTATGCTGTTAAAACAGTGAGAGATGAAAGAACGTCCCTAACTAAAAACCAAATACAAAATATCTAGGGAAATAGTAAAAAGAATTGCTCCTCCTATGTCTCATTCTCCAGTCAAAAAGACCTGCAAAATGAGGACATAACTCAAAAGACTTTTGGGTGTGAAATAACAAATATCAAGATTATTAACAGAATAATTATGCAGAATTATTAGCTGAACTGTAGAGAAAATAGCTCAGGATTTGGCAGAAACAAAGATCCTGGAATACAGTTTCTTTAGTGGTAAATTTGCAGGCTAAACCCAAGTAATCAAATTTGTAAGACGTGAAAGAGGGCGAGAGAAGAGAAAGAGGCAAAATAGACAAAATAACAGAGATACACATTATTTTACAAACTGCATGCAGCTCTTTGAGAAGGGTACTAGGAATGCAATATTTATGGCTAAATCAAACCCAAGGTCCAGCCCCATGTATAATTCAGGACAGAGCTACATGTCCCTAAAGTCACCTTGAATAGTTGTGACAGCCATATTCTTGAAATTCCTTGTGTTTTCCATGGCGTTTCATACAACACCAGGTGAGAAGGGGTCAGGCTGTGTCCAGAATTGGTTCTCCACTGTCCATTTCCTGAGGTGCCATAATAAGGCAAAGGCTAACAGGTTGGCAGAACCAAGAGGTATCCCATTACTGTCTGGCAGGCAGAGGAATTATGGTCCCAAGACTGCTTTATTGCAAGAAAATCCTGGAAAGATGTATCTTTATTTTCCACTGTAGCATGATAAAGGTGTAAATAGCATAATCTTAAAGGGTACATTGACTGCTAAAGGATAAGTCATTCTTCAATTCTTCTGAATGCTATCACACAGAGAAAGGAGGAGGGAAACTGTTCTTTCAAGTAGCTCTCCTAGGTGGGAGTGAGAATGGGAAGGAGGGCAAATTTTGAAAAAATGTTATCATTTGTGTTATATATATATTGAGAGAAAACAATAACTGCCTTAAAATATACAGCTGTAAAATTTGAAGATACAAAACCATTAAGGAATAAGGCTAAAAGAAAATTAAAGGAAAAAATGAGAAGCTTAAAAATTAACTGCCTGTTGGGATCGCTGTTCATAAGTTGTTCTTATTACTAGCTTTACTGGTTCACTGTGGAGTTTGGGTCTGCAAGCAAAATGGATCAATCAAAGCTTACGGTGCAGGACTGCTTTCGTCTTATGGGGAGCTTATGGTATGTGTAAAACATATAATACTGAAAGATTTCTACAGTGTAGTTTTCTGAACTCTCCAGTAAAATAAAAATATGCTGTCCTCACATGAAACAATATGATTTCAAAGACTGATTTTTCTTTTGCAAAAAAATTAATTTTCCTTTCCTAGAAGCTACTGAGTGGGGGAAAATCTACTGCAGGATTGTACCTGTCTTCCTCCTAAAGCGACGAAATGCAATGAAAGCAACCATGATATAAAGCATCAGAATTTCTTATTGCTCCTGGCCAGTAGTAATACAGTTGTCTTTAAAATAAAACTCATGTGCCTTTCTGATTTACTCACTAGAGGGCAATATTATGCCTATTATGAACTCCATGAGTTTGTCTTAGACAGTGATATTCAATGCTCACACGAATCAGAAAGGCAGTGACTGACTGGACCTAATAAAGTGCAAAGAAGCTGTAAATACCATAGACACTGACATAAAGAAAATGCTTTAATATTTTACATACCTTACTACATTCCAAAACTAATTCCAGTTTGAGTTTTATGTAGATGAAAATCTGATACTGCCTTGCCTGGACAGAGTAACTGTAGAAAGAGGGACTGTGCACCTTTACAGGAAGCTTATAGGTTTCCCTTCCTCTGGGGAAACAGCTAGTAGGAGAGATACTAATTTATCCTCAGTTTCGCAGAACACTGAAGCAGATGATCTGTTTCTAAATGCAAAAGCCCTAAAATGCTATCAGCAGGTCTCAATTGCTTCAGGTTGTGCAGATACTGGATTTCTTTGAATTCATAAGAGACAAAGGAAAAATAAAAAACATTCTTCTGAAGCCTTTTTACAAATCAGAAATCTCAATATTTTTCATGGGAGATATATTTTAAGCTTAACACAGACAGAGCAGCCTAACAGCCAGCTACACAATAAATTCACATGGAGCCATGACTGGATTAACACAGCTTGGATTCCCATAGCTGGGGATAGTTGGAGTGTTATGACAATGAACACACTACAGAACTTTCCTAATCATATACAGGTCAGCCTGCTTCCTAGTCAGTTGACAGAAGGAAAAAAAACCAACATGTTAACATATCTCAAGACATTTATAATAGGAGTCCAAAGAGAGGGGCAGTTGAGACTTAACAGAGAAAAGGGAACCCTCCTAGACATCAGTCTTCATTTTACCACCTGCTGAGTTTAGCACTGTTTTTGTTTTTGTTTTCCCCACACTTGCAATTTAGAGATTTTGTGAGCAACCTCTGTGTGACCTGATTTGCAGAGCTTTCTCTTTTGATAAGCTGAGAGATCTGCATGCTCACCAACCCTCTAGAGAAGTAAACATGCACTCCTTTCTATATAGCAACCTGATCTTGTGCCTAACTGCTCATGAACACAAGCAGAAGCCTACTAGTACTACTGCAGCACTCATACGTAGAACATTGAAATGTTTTGAAACAGCACATCAGTGGTCTCCTCTACAAATTAGGCTCCAGTGCAATGCATTTGTTTTACATGTCTGTTCTAGGATAAAGCTGAGATTACTGTTTTTCTGAGATCACTTCAACACTTGCTGTGTTCATAGCCAACAAACAGGAAATTAAGGCCTCCTTTTACTTGCCTTGTAAAACAAAAAATGTCCAGTATCAAAGCACAGTTCAAGGCAACATTTATTCTAGTCTGTCTGCCTGAATATTTCAGAGTTTTAAATCAAATGCATTCACATGTTAAACAGAGTAATAAAATGCAGCAGTAATAATGTCTCCAATACTTATCTACCTTACATAGTAATATATCCCACAAAATCTATCTGCATGGTACTACCTCCTTTTTCCTGTTTAACTTTGACACAACTAAAGGCAAAAGTTGCATCAAAAATCCTCACTTGATGGTGGCTGGAGTTGAATGCACCAGACTTGTGATCTCTCTCCTCTCTATCCTTTTCTTCACCAGACACCAAGAAGCTCTTCTGCTTTTGATTAAAGTAGTAGGCAAGAACTGCTTGTTCAAAAACCCTTGCTATGTAATATGAAAGTATAACTGCATCTCAAATTCCCTATTTCCAAGGCTGACAATGGAAGTCATAACTGTCCTTGAGATGATAAATAGCAGATTCTTGTCATTAGTTTCATCATCAAGAGCTGTGGAGTCAATAGTTGCTGGATAAAGTTTTTATACAGCTAGGCTTTCACTCATCAGATCACTAATATTACATGCAGACATGGTAGCACATATATTCACTAGGTGATGAGGAAGGGTTACCTCCCTTTCAAAAGTGCTTCCACCTTGCATGTAAGACAGTCTGAAGATGGTCAAGTAGTTCACCAGCAACACTACTATATAGCCTGGACAAAACCCCACTATAAGCAGAGACAGTCTTTATACTGTTAACTTTAGAGGCAGGACACCTGATGTTAATGCTAAAGGTGGGGCACCTGGTAGTAGTTTCCTAATTGGTTCCCACCCAAGGTTGAGCAGGCCCGGGGTGAAAACCAATCAGGAAGATCTTTCCTGTCTGGTAGTGGACATCATCCACATGTCACCCTTGATTCAGGGTTGGAGGTTTAGACCCAAGCATTTCAGTTCATTGCTGTGTTGCTTTTGAGACAGCAGCTTAGTGGGTTCTGTGCACTTCACCTTGAGCATCTGAAACTTCTTCTGTGCAAATGACTTCAATCCACGGCCTTAAGTGCTAAAACTACAGTTGACTGATTCATCTCACAGATTTTTATGTGGAATGAAGATGAAATACAGAAACGTTTCCATTTAATCCTTCTAGTCTGCATAAGCATCTGATTCTACATTCAGTATAGACAGCGGCTATGTGAGTAAAGTGCTGAGGTCCCACGCTTAAGCACCTGCTAGCAAACTGAAAATGTATACCAACTGTTTTTTCTACAGCTGAAGAGAGGAAGTATGTGTAGTGCAGTCTCTGTTTCATAGGCGGGATTTTTTTTTAGAAATACAGCAGTGGCTAGGAAGGTTTGTTTGAGAATCATAGAATCATAGAATCCTTTAGGTTGGAAGGGACCTCCAAGATCATCAAGTCCAACCATTGAGCCATTAGGGCTCTAAAGTCCTCTGCTAAAACAGATCAGAATCTGTCAGGGTTGGAAGGGACCACAAGGGTCACCCAGTTCCACCCCCTCTGCCATGAACAGGGACACCTCCCACTAGATCAGGCTGCCCAGAGCCTCATCCAGCCTGGCCTTAAAGACCCCCAGGGATGGGGCCTCAACCACCGCCCTGGGCAACCCATTCCAGGGTCTCACCACTCTCATGGTGAAGAACTTCTTCCTCACATCCAGCCTGAAAAGATAGTGAGGCTCATGATAGCTTTCAATTTCTTGTAAAACTCATTTTGCAGTCTTAGACTGGCTGTTGAGAAAGGCTTAGATAAGTTTTGCTGCTGCTTGGCAAAACCCATTGCCCATCTTGATTATTATCTGCCATTCTTCTCAGTAAGGGCCTTGATGTGGGCTTGTACGTGGAGGCCCCAAACTCGATTCTGCATAATTTAGCTGATTGTCATATTTGACACAGGCAGACTCACTGCATGTGATGGAGGAGACATGCTGCAGCAGCTTGCACAAAGGAGGGGTTTCCTCATCACTGAAGGTTTCTGAACCAAGAAGAATGGGATGATTTGGTCACTGAGGAGGCAGTAAAGACAGGAGATACTAAGGCTAGGTGGTTTGCTACAGGAAGACAACATCTAACCCGCTGGAGAGGGCGAGCAGCAGTACATTCAGCTAATGTCATGAGAACTTAGCATCAGCAAAGAGCCTGGGAACATCCCATGCAGCCTGGACTGACTGTTTGTGGGTGTGTGACTGTAACTCAGGGAACCACATCCCGACTATGAAATCTTCAAAATATTTTCCTCTTCTCCACAGCACCGTCTCTGACCAGTTTGAACTCAGCTTCAGGTAGTTATTTTCTGTGGATGAGCTGATCCTGCCCAAACTCAGGTCATAACTTGGGAGAAAGGCAGAGGATGAGAGGTAAAGCTAGATGCTTTCACCATGAGACTTGCAATTGAATCCATGTTACCTAACAAATAATTTAGTGACAGCAGCTAGGTATCAGAAGGGACAGGATAACTATAGTCAAGTCTAAACTGAACAGTTGTAATGGGTCTGACTGCTGGCCAAACTTGCCTCCTCTGAACTGTAAGAATTCCTCCCCAACAGCTCTCAGTATTGCCCTGTTTATTTCACTATATTCTGTCAGCTGTTCTACATTATCCAAAATGCTTCTCCTGTTAACACTCAGCTGGACTCTGTCCTACATACTGTAAAATCTTATGGCTCATACTACACTTCTGGCAGCACTCAGTGCTACATATGCTTTTCTTGCAGCACAACAAGTACTTAACTTGTAGAGGCCTTTAAGGCCATCCGGTTTCAAGCTGAACTTCCACTGAAATCAATGGGATTTCAGTTCTGCTTCAACACTGACAGCATAGCGGGACCCCTGTCAGGTTTTGAGTTTCTGAAATCTTTTCCCATTGGTCCCCAGAGCCTCTAAGATTATAAAAGCAGCCTCATGTTTGTGTATACCATCCATCTTAGGTTGTATGAGTGCTCTCCAAGGTTTATCCTTCAAGTGGACATTGCAAATGAAGAACAGGAAAACCATCATCTTTTAGCATTTTATATTCTTGTTTTGTTTTGTTTTGAAAAAAAGCCTTGTGTTAATTTCTGCACCAGTTCTGCAGCAAACTGGCCTACCAGTTAAGGTAAACCTCTAGCAATGTAGTGTTCAGGCTCAGTTCAGTGAAATCTGTAAAAATGTGATTAAAGGTACTGTCTGAATCTTTCCAGTTAGCAGATTTAGCTGTAAGTCTTGTGTAGTGTCACTCACCCTTACCAGTTATTTACAAATACCATGGGAGTTGGCATGTGGATTATAAGATAGGGAAGGGAGCCTTCTGAACACTGTGGAAGAAGAGAGAAAGACAGACAGATCTCAAAGAAGAGGGGGGTACTAAAGGACCATCCCTAGGTGGATGGGACCCGCTGTGCAGGCTGAAGATGGAAAGAAAAGTCTTGACATTGCCTTTTTTCTTTTTGTTTGTACATAGCACACTTCACCAAAGTGGCCGTATCACTCATCAACCTGGCCACCTGGAAGCCAAACCAACTTTTAGACACATCTGCAGTGCAGTTCAAATGTCACTGGAACTGAGCAAGCTTGACTCTATCTCACTTGGGTTTCAGAGGCAGGCAAATGGCAGGAACTCACTTTAAGCCTGAACTGTATTGCCTTCCCAGGACCCTGTGCAGGTACTAAACAATCAACACCAATACCTGTGCAATCACACTGTCACCAGCTCTGCTATGCTGACTTGTTTAAAAGTATCTCTAGTATGTGTAAACAAACAACAGATATGCCTATGGACTTCAGAGTGGACATAGGTGGCTTTCACAATCCTCCTGACTGCCTGAAGGGACCATCTAGAAGAACCTAAGAAGAACATACAGAAGAATCTCAAAACACAAATATACACACACGTAGTATAGTGCATAGCTATATCTTGGATTTCAGGAAAGCTTTTAGGCTGCTTGTCTGGCATGGGAGCTGTGCAAACAGTACCAGGAGCATTCCCTCTGTTCTTCAGTGCAGCAGGAAATGTGAGGTTTGTGACATGGACTGGTGACTTAGAAATAGTTCTGTACAGGACTGTGAATCTTCTATGATACCGGTTAAAAAAGCAGCATGATATTTGTTTTTTTTTTTCTAGATTTTGGGTGGTGGCATAGACTTTTCCCTCTCTGTCTGAGAATGTGGCTATGGTACTCAGTCATACATCATTGTAATGCAGGAAATACATATTTCTTTTTTTTTCTTCTTTTTTAAAAAATATAAATTTTGAAAAGCAGCTTTCACCTGTGAAAAAACAGGGCTTGATATTACCTTTAGCTATTCCACAAAGAGCATTTCACAGCCCAGTAGGCGCTAATTCCTGCTATGTTCTTTCACCTGCTCTAACCTGTGTTTTTCCTGCTACAAAGTACGCTTTATCAAACAAGCCAGAGTACAAGCCTTTTGATCCAGAAGTGACTGCAGTTCACCCCTATCAGGATCAAGCCTTTCAGCCAGTCTATTTCATAGCAGAAAGTTTGGAAGATGCCAAGGCCAAGCTTCAGTAAGTAAAGTGTTTGTGGGCATTTTCACTGAGGGGGACATATCAGCTTGAATCCTAATCTCAGGTACATCTACCACTACTGCAATAACCATGCCAGGCTATCTCACTGTGTGCACTTCATCTGCACAGTGGATTTTTTTTTTTTACAACAAAGTTAAATATGAAATTGTTTATATCACAAAAGCTTACATAGACAATCATAACTATATATTGTTATGCCCTGTCCCATGTTTCATCTTAGCAATGCCTAATTTTAGCAAATTTTAAAGTAAATTATGTAACTAAATAGTGAGGGCAGAGCACAATCCCACAGTTGGTGTGTCTAAGTGCTAGTCCATACAAATAGGAGGTCATGAAGAACTGATTTACCCAAGGTCACATGGAAATTTTATAGCAAGCTCAGGAATTAACATGGATCAGCAGGGGGCTTAAAAACAAGATTGCCTTTCTCCTCTGATTATATCTGCACAAGAATGCAGAATCAGCATTCACAGCAATCTAATTTGTACAAAGTAGCTGACTGCAATTTAAATAACATAATTTCAAATTAGCTTGAGGTGTTTCTAAATGCGTTTCATTACTATGTTATGCAGTAAGGATCTAAAAAAAAAATATATAAAAAATTTAAAAAGCAGGGTTTAAATTCTGGCCTTCATCCCCATTAAAACAACGTGATCAGTTCTGGCTGGAGGCAGGAGACCAGTTGTGGAGCTACTAGGGAACATGTAGGAGTTGAAATGAGGAACTTGCTAGAGGAAGAGAACCTGGGCCAGTCTTCTTCCCTACTCCCCCCACTTCTCCAGAAGCACTGTCTGCTGGGGTTGTAGCAATGACAAATTAGGCCCCTCATCTTAAATCTGAAGGTTCCTATTAAATTAGTATGTGTAAAAAAATAGCTGAGAACTCAATGGCAGAAGAGAGAGGACTTTCAAGAGCATTTGACTCAGGGAAACCTGAAAAGAACTTACCAGGACAAGGAATACACCATTTTCAGACTTGAAGTTTTTCATATAATTTTTCAGAATAGTTGTGCAGCCAAAGCAGCTCAAAGTAACCAAAGGTAAAAGAATTTACCTGGACCTGAGCAAAGTCTTTGACTCTGTCCCACACAACATCCTGGTCTCCAAGCTGTTAAAATATGGATTTGATGGATGGATGACATGGTGGATAAAGAACGGGCTTGAAGGCTGCACACAAAACGTAGCTTTCAATGGCTCCATGTCCCAGTGG